GGCGGGGCGCGGCGGGCGGCGGCGGCGGCGGCGGCGGCGGCGGCGGCTGGTGCTTGGCGCCTGGGATCGCTTTGGCCCGGTCCGGCCCGCACGGCGCTGGGCGCGGAGAACGGCCATGCCGCCGCGGCGCAGTATCGTGGAGGTGAAGGTGCTGGACGTGCAGAAGCGGCGCGTGCCCAACAAGCATTATGTGAGTCGGCGCCCGCGCCACGCGGCGACCCCAGCCTCCCGCACAACTTGTGCCCCGCGCCCTCACCGCCGTCTCCCTCCCCACGCGCCCCGGGTCCCCGCGCCCTCCCTGCCGTCCGTCTCCGCAAGCTCTCCCGGCCCCCGCGCCCTCCCCGCCATCTCCCCGCTCGCCCCTGGTCCCCGCGCCCTCCCCGCCATCTCCTCGCGAGCTCCCGCCCTGCCCACCCGTACAAAAGTCTGGCCCCAACCGTTGCTGGAGATGAAGGCAGAAACCAGGAGAGGGACCCACAGGAGGCGCGCCTTTCAGGCCACCCTCCTGCCCAGAGGCACCCAGCCTCGTGGGACCAGCCAACCAAGCCCCTCATCCTCCTGGGCATGGATCAGTTGAGCGTCCCTTTCTAGTAACTTCCGTTTAACAACGTGGGAAAGTTTCCCCAGGAGTAACCCCCTCTGTGAAATGAGAAAAAAAAAATTTTTTTTGGAGCTGCCATCGTGTGGGGGAAATGGGTCTCTGGCGTCCTTTTTGCAGATGGGAAGGCTGAGGTCCAGAGGCTGAGGATACTAGAACGTGGAAGGTGGGCCCGGGCCCACGGTGTCCTGCAGGTGGGAAGTGGCCTCCAGGGATGCTTGGAACCTGGTCTGGGGTTGAGGTGGCTCCGGTTCCACCCCTGGAGGTTTTGGATAGTGGAACAGTGGATCCAGAGGAGGAGGTCCTGGGGACGTCACTCCAGGAGTGAAGGGAGATGGTGTCCCTGGCTGAAAGAAGCTGGCTGTGGCAACCCTGGAGAAGTTAACCAGGAAGGAAAAAAGCAAGAGGGAGGGAAAAAAAAAAATTCTAACAAAGAAGAGTGGAACAATGGCTAGAAAGGGCGTTGGCTGGAGAAAGGCTGGCCAGGGGCCTCCCTGGAAGCCCCTTTTGGGTCTGTTTGTTTAAGAGAGTCATTGTTACAGAGCAGACAGAGAGACGAGCCTTTGCTGAGTCTCCCATAAAATTCTGGAAGGAGATAGCCGGGAATCCACTGCGCTCTGCGAAAGGGTGTGCTGTCTTCCCATGTATTGTTATTGGCTAAGCGTTCAGTTACTCAGCCCTGGGCCAGCCAGCGGGGGCTGCTTCCTGGACCTGTGGTATCTTTAAATAGAGCTAAGTTTTCCTTGCTTCAGAGCTCAGCTAAATTGTCTTGGTTTCCCCACACCCCACCCCTTTTTTTTCCCCCCCCTTTACTGTTTCAAATGCTGCCAAATCTCGCTTTCTTGTCGGAGCCTGTTGAGTTGCCTCTTGGGTATGGGACAGTTTTCAGCAACCTACCAACCGGGGAGGAAGTCTAAAATTCTCCATGCTGCCTTCCCCCAGATCTGTGAACCCGCCACATCAGACTAGATACAGCCACCAAGGACTGGGCATCATTCCCCACTCTCTCTTATGCTGTCACTCACATTTAGTGGTGGTTTCCTCAAGTCCGTTTCACAGATGAGGAAACCAGCAATGAGAAGCAGAGCAGGCGTGTAAATCCAGGCCTGTTAAACCAAAAATGTCGTTCTGTCAGACCACGCCCCTTTCTTACATCCCACACAGCCACAGAGGTCCTGGACAAAGTCCTCTCAAAGCCTGGGAATCTGCTCAGGCCCTCGCCTCCCTGCCAGGGTTTGGCAGCTCTGAGGGGTCTACACCCCTGAGCTCCCAACCAATTAGGGGTCCACTGAGGCAGGTCTGTGTAGCACCCTAGACCGGGGCTCAGCTCTTGTGCTTCCAGGTTGCTAAATGTGACTTCTTTGAGGCTCTGTGTCCTTCTATGTAAGGTGGGGTGATGACGTTCGCTCCCAGCGGGAGCAGTCGTGTGACTTAATAGGGTTTCTTAAGTCTAGCCCTGTGGTGTCCACATCTGATTGGAAACGTGCTGAAGTCATGCGGGAACAAGTTTCGAGAACTTGTTCCGCTGTGTGTGGGGTTAGTCACTGCTGTGACAGGGGCCTTCCCCAGATGAGGAGGGGCTTGGGGATGGATGCAGTCAGAGTCATCCAGGGGAGCAGATAAGCTGGTACTATGGTGGCGGGGTCCCAAACCCATCAGCAGCAGACGGGACTATGGTGCCTATCCCCAAGCTCCGAACACTGAGAAGAGTGGAGACAGGTGTTGGCAGCCTGGCTGAGGTAACCTTGTTTCTGCCCTCCACAAGCAGCTTCCCTTTTCTCAGTTGTAACAACCCAAAATATGGCCAGGTATTGAGGAGTGTTGCATGTCCGCTTAGGGACCGTGGTAGTCTTAGTCTATAACAATGTTTTTCATTGTTATGGCCAAGTACCTAGGGCTGGGTACTTTGTAAAATAAAGAGGTTATGCAGCTGACTGGGAAGCTGGAAGTCCAAGATTGGGATGTCCCATCAGTTTGGCCTCTGGTAAGGACTTCTTGGCCACATCACGCAGTTGTAGGAGTTGTAGGTGATGTCATGGTGGGGCCATGTATGGTGAGATGAGAAGCCAAAAAGATGGGGTGAGGGGCACTTTGCTCGTTTGTTACAACAACCCTTTGGGGACCGTGGTCCCAGGAGAGCTACCTTAAACTCTTTTAAGGCCACAGAACCAATGGCCTCTTCCTAGGCTCTGCCTCTCTTACTTACTTACTCCTGCCACTTCTCACCACGGCACCACACTGGGGACCAAGCATTCAACGCAAAACTCTTGGATGTGGTCAGGACATACGCAGACCTTAACAGGAGTGACGCTCCGACAGCTGCCCCACTCAGAGCCCCCACAGTGCAATATGCACAGCAGTTCGGAGTGCCCTGGCTGCTGTGCCCTCCTGATTCCATGCCTGGAAGGGATGGGATGGCTAGATGAGGCTGCAGTTAGACAGCAGTACTTGGGGATCAGGCCTCCATGTCAGGTTAGCAGTCTCTCAGAAAGGCCACCTTCTCCTGTGGGCAAGGCAGATGTTGTCACTGCGCAGTCCCTGATGAGCCTGTCCCACTCAGAGTCCGGGCTTCAGGATCAATGTGAAGGGAGCTTCTCAGAGTGACACACTAGGGCCAGCCTCCCTAACCGGAGTGCCTTCTAGCAACCTGTTGGCTCTGGGGGGTTTTGTGGGGATCCCCTCCCCTGTACCAATCTGGAAGAAGCCTCTGAGCAGGGCCTGGGGAGTGAGGCAGCTGTCAGGGTCAAGGGCACAGGAGGCCCTCCAGGCCCAGCAGTACTAACTAGCCTGGACGGAGGCCTGGGTGTGGGTGTCATTGTCATGACTGCTCCTTAAGGGTGGTAGGCTCCCATCATGTGACGCCAGTGTTGTAGGGGCACAAAGAGAACAAAGCCCAACCCCTGTCCACAGAGGTCTGTCTCTGCCAGGCCCTGCCATTGTATGAGTTTCAGATCCTCGCTCTTCTTATAGTTAAAATAAATCACAGGTGCACAGTCCCCTGGGTGCACTCCCAATCACGTCTTTCCCCAGCCCACTACCCTGGGTTTGTTATTTATCATTCCCACACACTTGTTTTGGTTTTGGACACAGGGTCTCACTTTGTGGCCCAGGCTGGCCTTGAACTCATAGAGATCTGCCTGCCTTTTGCCTTCTGAGTCCTGAGTTTCAAGACTGACATGACTGGGCCACACTCACTTTTAAAATACCGATTCACAGGCCGGAGAGATGGCTCAGCAGTTAAGAGCACTTGCTGTTCTTGCAGAGGACCTGGATTTGATTCCCAGTACCCACATGGTGCTTTACAACCGTCTGTAACTCCAGTTCCAGGGGGGTTGATACCCTCTTCTGGCCTCCAGACACCAGGCACATACATTCAGGAAAAACATCTACCCATGTAAAATAAAATATGGGTTCATAAGGATCATTTTTTAAAGATTTGTTTAGCTGCCTTCTTCAGGTATCATTGACATACCACCACAGTGACACATTGTAACCATGGAGGTCACTAGCATTTGTAGTAGCTCTAGAGAGCTAAGTAGCCATATTCCCAGTCCAGCTTTGTAACATTTCTGTCACCCCATTTGCCATCAGTATCCCCCTCCATGACCTTTACATGTTTTACCTGCTATAACCCCTTCTCAGTCTTACCTTCAAAGTTTCAAAACCATAAAAATCTTGTCCCGTTGAGATCGACGTTAACACCAAAGCCCCAGCTCATTTTTAACTGCTGCGTAGTACTCCATTTGTGGCCGTTTTCCTCCCTCCTAAAGGTCCTCTCCTACCGGGGACTTGGGGCTGTTCTTCCCAGCAGTTAGCCTGGTTGGAACTGTCTCTGTGTACAGTCCCAGAACAGGAACTATGATGGGTCTTAGAGTACGTGTTCAGCTCTGTGTGTCACCCCGGAAGCCGTATCCCTGGGTTCACTCTGCTCTAGGACTCATTCAGGCTCTCTCTTGCCAGACTTTCTAGATGGTGTCAGTCTGCTCGCTGCACGCCAGTGTCCTGTGCGGTGCTTGATAAACCTTTCCTGCTTGCTAACGAGGTCGAGTAGCCTTTTATACCTCCATTGGCCAGCTGGGTTTCTCCTCTGAATTCCATGTTTATCTTCTGCTGCTGTCTCGGTGTGGTTCGCCTTTCATACTCTCTTCATGTGGAAGGTTTTTACATCTGGGATACTAACCTTTCAGATGGTTAGGTGCGTGTTCTCAGTGTCTGCCTGAGGAGACTATAGACTTAGAGAATCCCAAGTCTGTGTGTGTGAGGTCACACAGCAGGGAGAGACTGCCTGGGGACTGAGGCTAGGCACGTTTGTCTGGGTGATACAGGCAGCCTCGCTATTCCCTCCACAAAGCTGGGTGACCTCAGCTGGCCTACTGATGCCACCTTGTCTGGGATGCCAGGGTCCTTCTAGGCCCTTGTCTGCTCTCTCTGTTCATTCAGTCAGCTAACGTGCAAGTCGTCAGCTACGGTCACTTACTCCAAAGAAGCTCTGAATGAGAGAACGGCAGGGCCTCCCTCCTTAACTGATCAGGCACTGGGAGCCTGAGAGTGACGGTGCCCACCGAGTCAGTAAGTTTGAATGTGCCCAGATC